CGTCTATAAGATGTTGGCAAAGGCCCATGCCAACCGGTTAATCCCAGCTTTGGACCAGATTATCCACCCTACACAAACTGGTTTTATTAAAGGCCGAAGGATCCACGATAACATCCTGCTGGTCAATGAACTTCTCAAGCTAACCAAGCAGGACAAACATAATGCGGTTGTGATCTTTATCGATTTTGAGAAAACATATGATCACGTCGACTGTCTCTTTCTGGATAGTTGTATGGAAAAAATGAACATAGGGCTGGTATTCCGCCGATGGTCCAAAATTCTACACCACAACGCGACTACAAGCGTCCAGGTCAATGGCAGACTAGCACCGCCGTTTTCGTTGCAACAGTCAATCCGCCAGGGCTCGGCTATCCCGGAAGATGCAATACCCATTTGCTCGTTGTTCGCAGATGACTTGACGCTGATGCTGGACGCCACTAGTGAAAACATGGAAGAGATCAGACGCCTCTTTGACAAGTTCACAGCAGTCTCAGACATGGGGCAATAAAACCCTGGGATGGTGGATTTACCATCAAGGGGTGCGCCCCCTGGAACTGCCCCGGGTTAAATGGCTCCCGGAGTCGACCCCGGTGAGAGTGCTGGGAATTATGTTAACAGCAACGGGAAGGTCGGCGTCCAGCGACGAGTGGATTCTCAAGCCTGCACTCGAGAAACTGGTGCACTGGAACGATCAACACAGTTCCTTGATTGGAAGGGCGCTAGTGGTCAACAGCGTAGTTTTGGCCGCCTTATGGTACAAATCGGCAATATGGGTAGTGGACACTCTGTAAGGAAGCGGTGCGGTCGCTGAAGCGACAACTAACGGCGTTGCTATGGAGAGGTAACTGTGAACTGCCGAATGTTATAAATAGGGTAGCCTGGCTGTCGGTCGTACAACCCAAGGATAAAGGGGGGCTTGGGGATTTTGGATCCCGCCACCCAGACCGCAACACTCACGGTACAATGGATCAAGAGGATGGTGCTCACAAGGGACCTTCCCTGGTACGCCCACGCGCTGGAGCAGATCGCCCGCCTGGCTCCACAGGCACGGCAAACGGTCGACCCTCTGACCTGGCTGGAAGATCTCTTCTGGTCCATACCAAGACACCCCCATACTGATCGGGCTTCAGGCAGGGGAGCGGCCCGCGATGATCTGGCAAAAGACGACTTTTAGGTTCATTGCCTGAGAGTTTGGCGCCAACTCCCGCTTCCAGATAAACCTGGGCCAACCAAATGGGAGGAGGTAGCCAGGCAACCCTTGTTTGGGAACAAAATGATCACAGACCGAAATGGAAGGGTCTACTGTAGTTCGGCCCCCCCATGGAACAACTGGGTGAGGAAAGGTATAATCAGAGTCAAGGACATCTGGGACGCAGAAAATAAGGACTGGAAAACAGCCCCGCAGATGAGGACGATACTGAAATATTGTCATGACATAGAAAAGAACCTGGAACAGCTGGTCTTCGCAATCCCTCTGGATTGGGTCCGCATTCTGCGCAAGGGCCCGAGACTAATAGAAGGGTGTAGCGAGAGTCTTGTGGAGAAATTGATGAGGGAGAACGACGAGCTCAGAAGGAAATTGGGAACGGGACGGGAACCATTAGAGAGTGGGGTGGAGAAACTGATGAGAGAGATGCAGGAGCTAAGGATGGAAAGAAGCAGGGATCAGGAGATGCTCTCTGGAATGAAGGTCGAGATTGGCCTGCTGAGGAAGGGAAAAAATGCAGTCAATGGAGGAAACGCAGTCGTGGAGAAATGAGGCCTTGAGGCCGGGCAACAAGAGAGGGACGATATCATTATCCACTCCCGAGTGTGATGATCGGTTGAGGTCAAGGCAGCGAGTCATTATGTCACCAAATGTGGAACTAAGAGAGGAAATTCGAAAGATGAAAGATTCAGAATATTGCACGATGAGAGAAATGGAAGTGATCAAACAAAGGAAGGCGGATGAGGCAAAAGGAATCGAGGCAGAAAGAAAGAAGTTAGAAGCGGAAGCTGAGGTCACTAAGTTGCGTGAGCAGGTGGAGAAGCTCTCCATGGAGGTGGTGGTTGTGCCAACAGGTGGCACAAATATGAAAGGAAGACTGGAGGCGGTGGCGGCTAGTGGGCAAAAAACAGTGAGAAGGGGTAGACCAAGGTTGACGCCAGCAAAAACACCGAGGAAAGATGATGGGATGAAAGATGCTAACGATCGTTTTATTTTCCTACGGGAAGAAAATAAGAGATTGCGGGTGCTGAAGAAGTCGGGGCTTGAGGCAATCTGTCAGCAAGAGGGAATCGAGTATAAGACCGTGGATGCAACAACGGATGAGCTGGCGGAAATTAGGGTGAATGCAAGGTTTGGTAAGCAGGGTTGGGAGGTAGGAGAGACCAGTAGTGAGCCGTCGACAAGTCGGGAAGCGAAGGAAACGTCAACGGAAGTGGAGGACATTCCGTCGGATTTATCTTGAGGAGGCGTCCCGGACACGGTGAAATGTTGGGGAATCTTTAATTCTCTGAGAACGACTTCTAGTGATGAGGTCGGGGAGAGTATGAGTGATGGTGAATACCAAGAGGTAGTGTTCTCATTAATCTTATCTGGAGAGGTTCATGGGCTGACAAATTGCGGGGTTATCTAAGACGGGTGAAGGACGAGGGAATTGATCTGGTGAGGTGTGAAGGGCCGCTTGTTTACGTTTTGGTGTCTCCATGGAACAAGCATTTGTACGTCGAGGCTACGACCAGGAGTCTTGAGACACGATGGAAGGAGCATGTGTTTCGGGTAAGGAACCAGCAGGTGGTGGAATCTGGGCGAGTAGGTGATTTTGGATCAGCTCTTGGTATTATGGGTTGTTTTGCTATTTTTCAAACAGTAGACTTTTCAACCATTTTTGCTTGTGCTAGTGCCTTTGTGCGGGAACCTTCTTTCATCAGGTTGTACAGGTGGCTCCGGAGGTGTGGGATTGAGCAGTATGTAGTGCTCCCCGTGGTGAGTTGTCTGGAAGGAGACTTGTTCGAGGTGGAGAAATTTATGATTCGGCTGATATGTCCGTACTTTAAGTCGGGATAAGCCGAGGAGAAATCACAAACGAAGGGCGGGAAAGAGGGAACAAAGACGGCGGGCGAAGCAAAGGGTGATGGGTAACGAGAGTACGTGCGGTCGTACGCATTTGTTTTTTGAAGCGACATGTGGGATATCATCCGTCAGTCTAATTAAGGTGTTGAATTACTGTCGGACGAATGAAGTCAACAAGGTGGGCGTTGAATGCAGTGGGGGTACTATGTTGGTCAGTCAATGAAATTTGGTAAAGAGGTGTTACGAGTGGTCAATTGTTAGCACTATTTTTGGTTCGGCACAATTGAGGAGATCTAGCGAATGGTTAGCGAATAGGATGAAGTTGAAATTTACGTCGGTAGTCTCTTTCTGCTCATCGTTGCTGGTCTTCAAACCAGATCTTGTCAGATTCCTTAGCTATCCTCCATCATGTAAGGAGATGCTCTCATGGGATGTTCAGCGTTGTTAGATCTTTCTCCGAGAAACGAACAAGGTATACACTGAGGTGTTTGATTTCTGGAGTTTTGCGAAGGAGATTTGATATGAACATTCGTAGTCATCTTGTGATCAGGATTACGTATGATGAGTGCCTCAACAAGGCAGGGATTCACAAGTTGTGTGCTGCCATGATAGGTAAATTGGATATTGTTGAGGGTTGGAAATGGATGATGGTTCAACGAATGAGGTTGGTGTGGAAGAATAATATGAGAATTGGTGACATCCTATACAACTTCCGAAGGGTGGCAAGAGAAGGAGATGTGGGATGTGGGTGTGGGGAAGCGGATCGGATGTTCACGAGAAAGGATGGACACGTCTGTTTTAAAATGGGAGAGGTGGGATTTGTACCTACATGGATGAGAAATGCAAAGAACGTCCCCAAACCATCGCGACGATGCACGATTGGGACATTGAAGAAACAAATTATGTCGACATTTGAACCTCTCCTTATGACAACTTCTGTATCGTGTGGTGAAATTGGGCTCCTGCTTTCCGGTCAACTGATGAAGGATTGTTTTAATCGTGCTGCTGTGAACAATGAGGTGGTGTGTACCACGGATGAAGTGTATTTGTGGAGGGAGCGCTTTGAAGGATTAGTCCGCTGTCCAATTGATCACAATCCGGGGGACTCTTTGGTCTGCTGCCCCGGGATCTATCAGTTGGGGATGAAGAAAATGTTTTTGGAGAATGTTGGCTTTGAGGTTTGTTCGGAGGGTGAAGATGAAATTAATTTACGTAATGGCAAGAAGTACAGAGAAATGGGATTAGAGAGCGTGGCGAGATGGAATTTGAAGGGCAGAATGGGGAGATGTTACGTAATCCCTACGCATAGGCGGCCGATTTGCCCGACCTATGAGGAGTGTGGAGTGGTGGCAAGCAAGCGGGTGTCGAGAGCAGTTAACAGGCTGTTGTGGGACTTGCCGTTAAGAAACAACTTCAATATGCGGAGTACGAAAGAGTTGGTGAAGAGGATAACTGAGGCAAACAAAGAATTGAAAAGCGATGGGGGGTTTGTGGGTGCGGCCTTCGACATAAAGGAGATGTTTTGTTATCTCCCGCATGATGCCATAGTGAGGGCGATGGAATGGATACTGGACTACTGGATAGCTCAAGGGGCTAAAGGAATATTGCTGAAGGGAAAGGGTAAGGAAGCCAAGATACGGATGGGGGATGGGCAGGATGGGTGGAAGGGAGGTTGGTTTTGAAGACGTGGTGCGCTTCATCGAGTTTGATTTGGGGTGCACATATGTGATGGCGGGTGGTGTAGTGTTGAGGCAGTGGATGGGCATACCAATGGGTAAGGCATCGAGCCCGGCGTTGGCGTGTTTGTTGTCCGCTTACTCTGAGTTCACTTTCTCAACTCACTGGGCTCGGAGAGGAATTTAACTCATGGTGTTCGAATTATACATGATGTGTCCATCTTTATGAGATACAAGAAAAAGGATGAAAAGGCAAGGGAGATGGCAGAGGAGGTGATACGGAAATTTGAAGGCTGCTATCACAAGAATTTGGTGTTGGAACGAACCGACAAAGGAGGGTTTTGGGATTTTTTGGGATGTGTTGTTGGGGTGAGGGATTGGCCGGATGGCATCCTCTGTGCCGCCACGCACAAGAATAAGGAAGGGGTATGGGAAGGGCGACTGGCGTTGCAGAACCTGCAAGACTACTCTACGTACTCGAGTTGCCAGCAGAAGTTGGCTGTTATCACGTCTTTCTTCTACAGGGCAAAACATTACACAACTATGAAAGGCGCTGAGGCCATGTTCTTGCTAACATTAAAAATAGAGTTGCGATTGAGGGGTTTTCCCGATGGCTACTTTGAGACGGCGCTCAGTAATTTCTCCAATAAGTTTGGGGGACTTTGGGAGGACTGGGTGCTGTGTTTCACTGGGTGGGCGGGGTGTTTCGCAAAATGTTTTCGTCATCGACTCATCGTCCTTCGCCACAGCGTGGCTGCGGCAGGTCCACTTGTAACTCTAAAGTTTAAACCCAGTACTCCTACGGATGTCTGTCTCTCCGGCCATGGTCAGTGAATCATACCCTGACATCTGACACCCCGCCCGGAGCAGACACCATCTGCGAGAAGAGCACTTTCTTTTCCTTTTTCGCACTTTTTTCTTCATTTGTTTGGTCATGAAATGTACTTTTTGCGTTTATTTTCCCTATTTCACGCAGCCACCCACCTGTCCCCCACCCGTCCCACACCCGTCACACTAATCCACATACATGGCTAGTGGGATCTCCCTCCAGCTGGAGGGTGTTACAGCCCTCCGCAAAGAACGGCTCTATGAAAAAAAAAAAAAGAACAAAATGAAACTACTCTTTGGACGCGAAAACAGCTGGATACAGAATCTTGGAAATACATGTGAGATTGGAGCCCCGTCTGTTGCAAATATCAGTTGTTCGTGGAAAGCGCCCACAGAATCTTGAATGCCTACTGGTTGGCAGGGCAGTGAAACGTACTGAGGGAAAAAAAAGAAAAAGAAAAAAAAAAAAAAAACGGAACATGAAACAAGGGTTTAACAACTTATAACAAGCCAATATGATGGGCAGACGCATTTCTGGAAGCACTACTAATGTGAGAAATTCAAATTTTTCCTAGCCTAAACCGGGTAATGGCCCCGGTAGCTCAAACATCTCAAATTTTCAAACCTTCAATGTAACAATTTCCATATGGGACGCTGGGCCCCCGGTTCCCAGCACGTGCTGCTCCCCACGAATAGATATAGATTAGAGCTGTCTCTTATACACATCTAGATGTGTATAAGAGACAGGATGCGGGCTTTTCCTATGAATGCAGGCCCTGGGCGTGATTCACAGCCTTGTACAGAGACAGTTGGGCGCCCAACCGAACGAGGCCCAGCAGCCCAGTAGCTGCTGTACACAGGCAGCCTCCTGGGGCCTTCCGGAAGCTTCTGGGCCAAGGCCAGGGCAGCCAGGCAGGGCAAGCAGGCCAGCTCTTTCCTCTTTCCATAAAGGAAAGAGCTCTCCGCTGGCAGCTCATTGGGTCACTTGCTGGCTGGCGGCAGCGCTGCTCGAGCAATTGCTCGCGGGCTGGCTGCCGACATTGGAGCAAGAGACGCCCACATGCGGTCGTGTGTGGGAGCAGGGCGCTGCTGAGGGCAGAGCCATAGCCAGCCTCCATAACGGGCTGGGCTTGGATACACGTGAGGCGCAGGGGTGGTCTTCGGGTGTAAGTGAGGACAGGTGTGGGTGTAAAGTCAGGGAAGGGCGAAGGATGATGATGATGATGATGATGATGTGAGGGCACATACCGTGTATTGGCGATGGTCTGCATGAGGGCGACATCTTCAAGTACTTTGGGTTGCCGCTGATGTCAACAGTTGCATTGTCTACTAGTGGGCTGATCGTAGCTGTGTAGGAGTAGGCTGGCCGCCTGTCTCTTATACACATCTAGATGTGTATAAGAGACAGGGGGCCCTGTTTGCAGCATTGCTCGCCCTAAGTGAAGGCGGAGGTGCCCGCCCTAAGTGAAGGCGGGCCTGACATATTGCAAGAGGCCCTCGACTGTCAATTTCATATTTGGGGTCCAGGCAATTGCGACGCGCCAGTTGGTTGAGAGAAAATCAGGCCGGGCAACAGAGACAATTCCACGGCCCTCCGGGCTTTTCCTATGAATGCAGGCCCTGGGCGTGATTCACAGCCTTGTACAGAGACAGTTGGGCGCCCAACCGAACGAGGCCCAGCAGCCCAGTAGCTGCTGTACACAGGCAGCCTCCTGGGGCCTTCCGGAAGCTTCTGGGCCAAGGCCAGGGCAGCCAGGCAGGGCAAGCAGGCCAGCTCTTTCCTCTTTCCATAAAGGAAAGAGCTCTCCGCTGGCAGCTCATTGGGTCACTTGCTGGCTGGCGGCAGCGCTGCTCGAGCAATTGCTCGCGGGCTGGCTGCCGACATTGGAGCAAGAGACGCCCACATGCGGTCGTGTGTGGGAGCAGGGCGCTGCTGAGGGCAGAGCCATAGCCAGCCTCCATAACGGGCTGGGCTTGGATACACGTGAGGCGCAGGGGTGGTCTTCGGGTGTAAGTGAGGACAGGTGTGGGTGTAAAGTCAGGGAAGGGCGAAGGATGATGATGATGATGATGATGATGTGAGGGCACATACCGTGTATTGGCGATGGTCTGCATGAGGGCGACATCTTCAAGTACTTTGGGTTGCCGCTGATGTCAACAGTTGCATTGTCTACTAGTGGGCTGATCGTAGCTGTGTAGGAGTAGGCTGGCCGCTGAGCACCAAGTAGGAGTGTGAAGGGACTGGACTCTTGTGTTGTGGCGGAGAGAGAGAAACTCTCCTTGACATTGGTTTTCAGTGCTACGAACCTCCATTGGTGTATTATTGGTGCAACGCTGCTCTCTGGACACAGTGTGACTATCTGGCTTTCAATGTGATGGTGTCATCTGGAATTTGTCATCTCGCTGTTGCTTATTTTCCTTGCACCTGCCTTAAAAAAAAAAAAAAAAAAAAAACCGCCCTGCCTCGTTGACAGGGCACTCAAATGAACTGAGAAGGATAAAAAACAAGGAACAAAAGCACAAAAATATGAAACAAGCCAGTAGTATTATGGGCAGATGCAGTCCTCGAAGCACCATTGTGAGCACACTTCCTTCACCGCTTACCCCCCAACCTCCTTCCTTTTCAAATATGAAGCTAACACTGGCGCCTGACATTAAAAACACAGCGCAGATACCCTTGTCAGGGTTTCTGACCCTACAGCGAGACTTGGCCCCCGGTTGAATGGGGAATCAAAGACCTACCCCTCCCATGGTGAGGGCAGATGTCAAATCCTCCATCAAACAGATGCCATCGACTGAGTGGGCCCTAAACATACAGAGCAAGGCCTGTGCACCCGAGAGGGAAGTCAAAAGTTTCCTGCGGCGTTCGGAGAAATTCCTGGGCCTGCTAAGGTTCGAGCCGACCCGGGCGAAGCTTCACAGTTAGTTTTCTCTGCTTTTTTCCTCTGACGTGGTGTCATTGTCTGATCTGTACAGTTTATTTTTTTTTTGTAAATAATTTCCTTCTTACGTAAAAAAAAAAAAGAAGAAAGAAAAAAGAATGGGGAATCTCTTTGCAATCATTTGATTTTATGGTATCCGTCAGCTGAGGCAGTTCCGGAGCTCTTCCTAGAAACTACATACTCTGGGGGTGTGAAGAATGCACCCTACCCCTTCCTGATTAAACTCCCCTCCCCCTCCC